CCCCTCTTCTAGCAGACTAGAATATGCCTCGCAAAACAATGGCATGGCAACATCAAAAGGGGAGGTGATAGTCTGACTGGGGAAGGACGTATTGAGCTGGTGTGACATCGACAGCTGCCAAGGCGGAAGATCTCAAGGCTTGGCACAGCGCCTTCCCGGATGAAGAAGTTGCAAAGCGTCTTGGTATGGGAAACCACGCGCGATTAGGGAGGCACGGTCAAGTATCGTGGTTGCGATTGCCGCCGAGATGAGTTGGACGGAAGTTGAACATGAGCAAGAAGGTGGCACCATGGTATGTGAGTAAGTAAATAGCGACATGCAAGAGACGGCGGGTGCCAACCAATACTCTTTCTTCGAGACATGCTGACAACGAACATGTCACAAGTACCTTCCAATTTATCTCGCTTTACCACAAGATTCCAGGCCGGTGGCAGAGTAATTTCGTGGACTTCACATGAGTAGACCATAGAGAGGCTTGATGGAAGTAAGCAGACTGCTTGCACGTGTAGTTCGTGAAATGAATTAAATTTGTTGTCGCAACGTTATGGAGTATACGTATTATAAGAAAAGAATTGATCTAATTACTCGACATCATTCTCAGAGGTATTTAAAACGTCGAGCAACAAGAAGAGACAGCAGAGCGAAAGCAGTTATGCTGCCCAGGATTCCAAAGAACGCGTTAAGGTTGTCAGTATCCTTCCAAGGGACCTTGACGTTCATGCCGAAAAGACCACACACAACATTGAGAGGAACAATAACAGTGGCGATGACCGTCACCCGACTCAAGAAGTCGTTCGTCCGGTTACCCATATCGATGTTGTCAATCGAGAGCTGCGCCAGGTAGTTGCTGTGCGATCGTGAGAGCATGGTGTCGAAGTGGACAAGGCTGTGCATCATCGTTACCGCGTGATCTTGGATATCGCCAAGGTAAAGGGCAATGTCCATGTGTGGCGTGACATCGAAATCTTCAGTGCATCTCTTAGTGAAAGCACGAAGCACGTCTGCCTTCCCGCCGAGCAGGCGCATGAGACTCATCACGTTCTTTCTGGTGTATCCGATCTTCCGAAGAAAGGCTTGGTTATCATCTACACGAGTGATAAACACCTGGTCTTCGATCGCATCGGCCTCGCGTTCGATCTCGTTGATCGCTGGTCCAAAAGAGTCCACAATGTCATCGCTGCACTGGTGTCAGATGAGGTTCATTACAAGAAGCGGCCTCCTTGAGGGACAACTAAGGCGGCTTCGACTTACATCAACGCGTAGCAGATCCAGTCACTGCTGAGAGAAACTTGCTCCTTCAATTGCGAAATCCGGAATCGAACCCTCGATGCATGCGAGTTTGCAGTGAAGCTGAAGCTGAGTATTCCCTCCCTGAAGACTACCGCATAAACGTTGAACGGATGATAGTCTTTTTCATTATCTTCCTCGACGACGATGAACGACCTGAAGCAGGCGAAGTAGTACAGCGGAAAGAGTTCGATCTTTTCGCGACTCTCTTGGTGGATGATATCTTCGATGGTAAGTGGGTGGATCCCAAAGGCTTTGCAAATCGTCCAGACCTCGCTGCCAGTCGGGTTGTTCATGTTAAGCCACCAGACACCATCGGCCTCTGCCTCGGGCATCTCGAACAAGGACCTGATGCTCTCGCCTGGGAGGACGAGGTCGCCGAATTCCGCCGCATGAATGGTTGACTCCAAGGCCGAGGAGAAGTAGTTGAAGCGACTTTGTTCAATGTGCTGGCTGGCCCTCGGGAGCGGCTGCTGGGGTGCTGTCGCCTCCTTCTCTCCCGCGATGGAAGCTGCTTGGGATGCAACATCGATGAAGTCTCCATCGGAGGTAAACATGCGCGTAGCGGTAGGGATGGAACTATCCGGAAGATTGACAAAGTCGGAACTGCCAAACTGGTCGCGACTCTCAGCGTCAATCAATGTCTCCAAATAGTCAAAGTCGATGTGGAGCCCATCTTTTTGGACGTTGTCGAGCTTGGTGTCCTCGGCCTCGGGAGATGACTTGGGCTTCGGCACGGGCGAAGAGGTTTCGTGAGCACCGCGATCAAGAGCCTTGCGGCTGTGGAAGCTACGACTGATGCTATTGGGATAGTTTTGAGATACCCGGAGGCCATAGTCATTGCTAGTCTCAACCTCGGCCTGAGGTCTGCGCGAAGAGGCCCTCGGATCGTGCGCTTCGACATCCTGTCCTCTGCGGCGCGCATTGGCAAATGCCTTGACGGAGTTGGGCGGCGACGTCGTGCGCCTCGACTCGATGGTGGGACGTCTGCTCAGAGGCCGCATAGTTGGGGATTCGAACATGGCCATGTTGGCTACGTAACGGGTCGTCCCTCGTTCGGGTTCTCTTCCTCGAGGACTCGAGATGCTTTCCACATCCCGACAGCCTCCGTTGGGACTCAACAGGGTCGCATCTTCGAGTCCCCGGATGGACTTGTCGTCTTCCTTCTGCGACATGACGTTATGTTCTCTCTTCTTTGATGCGATTGAAGGCCGAAGAGGTACTAGTGCCAAGTCGAGGGTCTAGATCTTGTCCAAGGTGTTCCTTTACCGCACGTTCGAGTGGTGTGCTCGCAAGTATCGCTCCTTCGTACGCTTTGCCATATCCTGGCAGATGTTTGGATCAGAGTAATGAGGTGACCGAACTGACTTGTGGTCGTGAGATCTGGCGAAAGCGGTGACCATTCCAATAGTTTGAGGAAAGATTCCGTGATGAGTGCTGTGCTGTGACGATGTTGGGGGTCGGAGAATGGAAAAGCCACCAAAGATACCGATTCAATGACGATTCGTGTTTGAGAATGGGATGAGGACAAGGACGGGTAATATGAAGGTTTTTGAGACTACTCGGCTACTCTAGGTAGAGAAACTAAGGGAATGCCCATCGCCCAACCGAGGAGACAGGTTCTAGAGCGACATCATGGGCACCGCCTCACGCAGGCGGAGTCATAACAAAACTTTCCCCATGGGGCGGCCTCTTTTTCCTCTGCGGTATTAATGTCCAGCTTTCACTGCCGGACGAACTACCTTATCTATCTGAAGACCCCGAAAGCTGATATCATGCATTCTCAAAAGCCGCAAGTCTCGAAAGAATCTTGCATTCTTCGCGATAAATATGAACAGCAATTAATCTGTTGCCGTCATAGCCGCTCTCGCATGCGACGTAGAACTCGTCCAAAGTTTTTGACGCAGGCCTTCGCGCCACACAGCCCCAAACCTCCCAAGCTCGATTGGGAACAGACATCAAATGCCTCATACTGGATTGGGCCACGAGCGGGCGCTTCGGCCCCCGGGAGCGTTGAGTAGAAATTGTCGCATGGAACATTCTCTATTCTTTTGCAGGAGCAACGGCCGCGCTACCAATGCACCCCGTGATCAGGTGCTGATGCACATCAGTGAGCTGTCGCGCAAGCGCGTCTGGGCACCATATTCCGCACGTCGTGCTCGCGGGGATCTGAATGAGCGGTCTGTTATTAGGACAAGGGATCTAGAACTTAGATTTGACTGACACACCCAGACTGGTGGGTGGGAACACGCGACCGATTCTGCAGTAAGACGACGATTGGTGTCTAGCTGGAGGCCGGGCTGATAGCTGCCGGGAGACTACGACTCATCGCCCCTCATAATAAGGCTTGCTAAGTTTATTCCTCGGCACCTCTGAGTCTGAAGCAGTGAACCACACGGACGGTGACATCTTTTCTGTATCGACTCCGAATAAGGTGTTGCCGAGCTTGGTCTTGTTGAGACACGTGCTGCTTGACAGGGACTCGAACTCTCACGCATCATCACGCTACTGAATAGGCTCAGGTACTGGGCTGTCTTCAGTGGTCAATGCTGGACACCCGACGCGAAGCGCTGCATACCGTCATTCAGGGGAGGCGACGAAGGTGAGGAATTTGAACAGACAACAGACACAGATGTTAATGTAGATAGCCAATTTGTTTAGGGTATTGAATTTGTTCTACTGAGTGACAGACTATGGCTACCTAATGACAGCAAAATGCAGCATACATTGCAAACTCCTCGTCTGCGAGCAGCTGCTCCATCTCGTCAGCGAATAAGCTAATAAGCAGCTCGATACCTCCGTGACTCTTCATCGGCAACACCATGCAAAGCCTAAAATTCGCATTGAAGGCATCCATCAAGGGTCGCAGCGACTCCGGCTTGCCATCATTGCTGAACACGTAGTCGCCAAAGTTGATCTTATCCAACGGCAGCAGCAACACTGACGTGATCATGACATCGAATCCATCGAGTCGGGTGAATGCAAGCTTCAGCTTCGTGTAGTCCGGAACTTCGCGCATGAGGGTGAACGCGTCCTTCACAAGCCCTGGATTCACCTTGGCCGCCTGTGCCCGAATTTGCAGAGCGACATCGCGCAAGCTCGTAGACGGCGACGCGAGCTCGGCCACCCGCATCGGAACTTTGTTGACAATAACGAGATTCCCAGCATACGACGACGGAAGCTCTGGGTCGAAATCCGTGCGGCCGTCGACGGGAGATTCCAAGTATGACACTTCGTCCGCCGGCGCTGGCTGGCCGGATGCGATGGCCGCTTTGTATCGCGCTTTCATGAGACCGCGCCAGAAAACCGCCAAGAGTGTGTCATTGGCCGACAGTCCCGTCCCGTCATGAGAGTCATCTAAAACATCCTTCTTCAATTTCTTGAAATTGTCCGGAGAGATGTAGAAAATGCTAGACTCCATGGTCCGGAGCGGGGCCGCAGGTGGGGCCGCAGCAGTAGCCGTTTCCTCCTCCGCATCTGGCGGCTGAAAGCCGAGAAAGCCCCAAGTATGGCACGGGATCTTGGCAACAGCCTTGGCAGGCGTCTTACTCCACAGCCGCTCCAGAAGGGTGCGATTGAAGCTCTCCGGAGCCAGCCAGCTGCACACGTTGGTATCCGGATGCGCGAGGTTTCTGCAGTGTTCCGACCACGCACGCATCGCCATAACCATACCGGTCGCGTCGCTAGCGGAATGGTGGAATCCCGTCGCAAGAATGCATCCCCCATTGACGAAGTTCGCTTGCGCCAAGAAGACGTCGGCACCGCCCGTCAAGTCTGGCACGAATGGGGCAGCTAGAACGAGCTCATCATCGAAAGCAGAGAACTCAAATCCTGCCATATGGGGAACACTGGCTCTCTACCTTGGCCTCTTCGTAGGCAGAATGATCCTGTCCAGCTTCAGCGAAGTTCCAATGACGACTTACATTGCTTCTAGGGCGTAGCAAGTCCAATCATCTTGGCTCTTTACAACTACTATCTTCATCCCATTGCACATGTGGAAGGACCATTCATCGCGTCAATATCTCCGGTATGCACGCAAAGTTGTATCTCGCTACCTTCCACTGCCTCATGTTAACGACGGTTTTAGATCTGGCTGATTCGGTCCGTATCAGGACATCGACTCAATAACGACATCGAAAAGGTGCACGCCGAATACGGTAATTCAGCAGGCTTATGTATAGCTTCCTGAGCTCTGCTAGTCGTTGTGCCCCCAGGACCTGTCGTTCGTATCGGCCCCAACGAACTTTCGTTTGCCACAGAAGATGCGCTCAAGACTATTCACAACCCTGGCCCCGACGGTGGTCACTTTACGAAGCAGGGGACTATTGAATCTCTGCTGGCCAAACTCATTTGGGCAGCTCCAAATCTTTTGACCACCACCGATCGAACTGCACACAAGAGACTGCGTACCGCATTACAGCCAGCCTTCACAGCCAAGGCGTTGATGGAGCAGGAAGATATCGTTCAACACCACGTGACTCGGGCCGTCGAGTCTCTAGGTTCAAAACTTCATGAGGGCAAGATTGTGAGTATCAGTGATCATGTTGGAAATATGATTTGGAGCATCGTTGGAGACTTGTCTTTCAGAGAGCCGCTCCTCCATGATCAAATGAGTAAGTACTAAGTAGGGACGACATGCACGCCCTTTGCTGTCATCAAGCTGATCATCTTGGTAGGCACGTACGAAAAAATGAAATACACTTATGGGAAAGGAGCGCCACTCCTAGAACTCTTTCAATTTCTGACAGAAACGCCCATCTTCGGTGGGCTCGCAAAGCTACCAGTCATGATAGTTCCACACATTTTCCGCGTCCCCAAAAATTTCCTTCTGATGAATCAACTCAGAGGGTGAGCTAGTCGAAGTCCATTCTACGACATGAACTTAAACTCACACAATTATAGCTGCATCGAGCGCCAAGGAGGGCGCAAAGACTTTTTGACCGCCATCTTATCCGCCAAAGAATCTGCCGGATTGACACAGCCGGAGATGTTGAGTAATTCGGCCTTATTCGCGTAAGTTTCCCCTCATTTCCTGTCGTCTCATCACCCTGTCGTCCCCGATTCTAACTGGAAATAGCATGGTTGGTTACGATACTTCCGCTACAACTCTATCAGCAGTCTTTTACCACGTGTTGCGGGACCCAGACCACTACCAGCGGGTTCAGGGAGAAGTCCGAGAAGCATATTCCTCAATCTCTGACATCACGGCTCAGAGTGTGCTCCGACTCCCATATTTGAATGTCTGCGTCTAAGAAACGCTCCGTCTCACGCCACCGATCAACGGTCGTGGCTCTCATCGCATCTCACCTTGGGCTATGATTGACGGGCTGTACGTCCCCAAAGGTGTCAATGTCTCTGCTGATATTTGGACTATCCAGCGTAAGCCCGAGTATTGGGCTCTCGCTGACAAGTTCTGGCCTGACCGCTGGCTTGGCAATGGTCCGGGCACCGTCTTTGAGTACGATGTCCGGACCAGCTACCGGCCATTCCTCGTTGGACCCCGAGTGTGCATTGGTCGCGAGATGGCTTTGCAGTCCATCCGTCTAACTGTAGCCAAAGTAGCATTTTCGTTTGATTTAGGAATGGCTAACAAGGATACTTTCGTGTGGGAGAGAGATGCAGGCAATGATTATGTCTGGCATGACTATCATGTCTTGGTGAGGAAGAGGGCACACCAAGAGTTTCATAAATAGCCTGGTGGCATCAAAAGGTCGTCAAATTCAACTTATAGAGAGAAGTCCTTCAGCCCCTTGATAGTCCCATCAATACCAAGTTCCTCCTTCTCATCCGGACCCAGTAATCCCAACGCCTCACGTCGACTTGGAGCTGCGGCGTCGAAATACGGCTTCTCGGCAAGAGATGTTACACGAGTTCCATGACGAGGGTGATTGCCCTCATAGTCCCAGCTGGCGTTGTGGATAGTGATTCTAGAGAATGTTAGCTAGCCGTCATCTTGCATCATCATCCGGCATTGAGAATGTACGCACCTGTTATCCCACAGGGCACTGGTGTTGGGAGTCCACTTGAAGCGGACTTGGATATCGACATTCTTCTCATATACATCAAAGAGGTAGTTCAAGATGACATCACTCTCCGCTTTGTCGAGACCGATAATATGTGTGGTAAACAGACGGTTGACGTAGAGAGACTTCCATCCCGTCGCAGGATGGACGCGGACAAGAGGGTGCGCTCGCTCAATGTGCTTCGGTCCAGCCTCGGGGTCGTTGCGGTCCAGGTACGTGTGAGCAGAGCGGTAGACGGCGTATTTGCCATCGATGATCTTGCGGAAATCGGGCGAGAGCTTCTCATAGGCGGAGTATCCGCTAGCCCAGAGGGTGTCACCACCGATGGGTGGGACAGCATCATTGTGCAAGTGAGTGATGCCGGATGGCTGACGTTCGTGGACTAGATCGGTGTGCCATTTCGAAGCACCGCCGGGGTTACGGAAGTTTGCTTTCCTCTCGGTGGCCATCAACGCCGGCCAGATTACTGTGACACCCAAGACGCCAGGGACTTGCGGAACTTGGGGCTATCGAGACACTTAGCTCAATCACATGCCCTTTCAAATAGAGCCAGACTAAGATCATCATGACTCACATGAACTTCAACTTCACCATACCAATCTCCCAACTCTTTCTGCTGTTGAGGCGACAGATCCTGGTCCCTGAAGAACACAACACTGCGCTCAGCAATGAGCAGCGCAAGCTCATCCTTTTGCTCAGGTGTAAGGTCCTTCAGCTGCAGGCCCTCAATCTCCGTACCAATGTGAGCCGTCAAGTTAGTAACTTTCGTCGCCGCACTGAGCAGGTTCTTCTTAGACTTGTCGGCCCTTGAGCCGGCGTCGACGTACTCCCTCTCCTTGTTGCGGATGTTGTATGCATCGTCCAGATACAGAGGCCGCGAAGGGCGGTACGGGTACCCATTTGACAAGTCGACTCCAGCCTTGATTAGTCTTGCCTTTGTGGTTTCGGGGAGCCCGAGGGTGTCCTTCCGCGGCTCCGCCACGTCGGTGATTGATGGGTCGATGGGGGCGGGAACCATGGTGATCTTATTGAGAGATGCGGAGATGCGGTTTAGCTCAGAAAATGGATATGATGTCAAGTCTTTGCAAATGATAGAAGAATTAGCACTTGCTTCTAAGACGAGCTGAAACGCATAGGCCCAGGCTGCCTTTTAAGTCTTGTAAATCAGGGCTTCTATTGCGAGGCGTTTCCCCAGGTCCAAATCCACGGGACCTCCTCATCTGATCACGTTAACCATCAATGCCATGATTACCAATAATCGCGGGGTCGATGGTGCTTTAAGCAGAGGTTATCTATGGCTTCATCTGCATCAAATGTGACGAATCCAGAACCAGATGCGTAACATCGAACCACCGCGCCACGGGACTCGGGGAGCAAATTCTCCAACCAAAATCCGGCGTCAGCACGCGATCAACATCCAAACTCTCCAGAAGCTCGACGGCAGGAATCTAGCCAAAGATGATGGAGGGTTTAATCAGCCGGTTGTTGGCTCGACGATTCGCCCTACCTTCCCCTGCGGAAGCGGATCCGGGGCGCATCGGCGACGGCGGCGCACTCGAGTGGGGGTTACGCGATACAAGGGCCCGATTGTGTGCTCGTCAACCAACATCAGCCCAATCCCCTTTAAGAGATCATCACCCGAAGAAATCGAGTTTGAAGGGCTGGACTCGTGCGGGGGAAACTAATTGCTAGAGTGCGAGTGTAAGCTTCCGATTTCCTAATTCCGTATGCCCCTCAATCCGAAGTCCGACCCAATTCTTGGCTGAAGTACTTACTTTACCTGCCCAGCAAGAAGCTTCGTGCGAAGCTTTTGATCGACGGGATACCAAGAGTGTCTATAAGCGATTTAAGTTAGATAAATCTGTGCGCTAGCGAACAAGCTCGACACTCATAGTACCTGATCCCTAGGGTCATAGGGAAACCTATCTAAAGTGATTTGGCAACAATTGGTTCCGGATCGTCCCGGATAATCGACCATCACGCAGCCTTTATCAATCTTCAGAGAATCATCTGCATGTCAATGACAGGATGTCTATCGGATGTTGTCCGCACCAAGGATGACAGACGCGCGCTTGTGCGGCGTTGTGCCTACAGTGCCTTCAGCTGTGTCCAGCACGCCATCGTATCCAGAAACCTCGTCAGCGATATGCCCAGTTCTTCCCTAGTTGGCCATGCGAGTCTGCTCCGGTGTTGGCCCGAAAAACCCTGAAAACCTTGAAAACGCGATGGAAGAAAATTCCGCATATTCTGCTATATAAAGTCTAGCGTTTGCATCGAATGTCGTTATTATTCTTGATTATGTCGATGCAGGCGCGCAGCTGATCACTTACTCATTGTCTTTCTGGTTCTGAGACCAACAAGCTGCAAGTATGGGAGTTCCAGAGATCGAAAAGACTACGGTCGCCGACTCACCTCGGAGCAAGTCGCCATCTTCCGTCGCCGCGCGAGAGGTCCAGCCAACTGTTGTTGAACTCGTGCAAGAAGAACCGAAGCTCACATGGCGGTCATATGTCTGGGATACATTAGACAAGTCACCTGAAGAACGCAAGTTCATGTTCAAACTGGATGCTGTAATTCTCACATTTGCAAGTCTGGGATACTTCATCAAGTAAGTTGGCTCTTACCTACTAGACAGCTCACTATCTGTACTAATGTTTCATCAGGAACCTTGATCAGATTAACATCAACAATGCCTTTGTGTCTGGCATGAAAGAAGACATGAAGCTCTTTGGTAACGAGCTCAATTACATGCAAGCCTGCTGGACCGTTGGATATGTCATTGGCGAAATTCCGAGGTCAGCTCAACGCCAACATGAACTCTTTATTTGATAGTGTTAAGAGTACTGACTATTTTCTACAGCAACATCCTTCTCACTCGCGTCCGGCCATCAATCTGGATCCCTGCCTGCGAATGCACATGGGCCGTCCTAACAATTCTCATGATCAAATGCACAAATGTCACCCAGCTTTACGTTCTCCGGTTTTTCATCGGTCTCGCCGAGAGTACATTCTACCCAGGCATGCAGTACATCATCGGATGCTGGTACAGAAAAGACGAACTTGCCAAGCGATCCTGCCTTTTCCACTCCGCAGGCTCCATCGGCTCCATGTTCTCGGGCTACCTCATGGCTGCCGTCTACAACCTCAGCGGCGTTCATGGATGGAAGGGCTGGCAGTGGCTCTTCATCGTCGATACCGTCATTTCCCTGCCGATTGCGATTGCCGGGTTCTTCTTCCTGCCCGACGTGCCTGAGATCACAAAAGCCTGGTGGTTGACCAAAGATGATGTGGCGCTCGCGCAAAAACGAATGCAGCTTGAAGGTAGAGCGAATCGTCAGCCGTTCACAAAGGCCAAAATTAAGAAGATTTTCACCAGTTGGCATATTTACGCCCTTACAGCGCTTTATATCTTCTTCAACAATGGATGCGGAATTATGAGTCAGCCTGCGTTCCAGTTGTGGTTGAAGGGAGAGGGATATTCTGTCAAGGAGTACAACACATATCCGACAATTACATCCGCCATCACCGTGATAACGACGTGGATATACGCCTGGTCTTCGGACTCGGTTTTCAAGGGCGAGAGATGGCCACCGATAGTCTTCTCCGGAACACTCAACATCGTCATCTACTCAAGTTTAGCGGCATGGAACATTTCCGACTCATGGAAATGGGGCTGTTTCCTTCTCGTCGGATTCGGTGGTGGCATCAGCGGGTTGACGTTCGCATGGGCCCATGAGATTTGCAAAGACGATAACGAAGAGCGAGCGCTCGTAACTGGCTCGATGAATCAGATGGCGTACGTTTTCCAGGCATGGTTGCCGCTGCTTATTTGGCAGCAAGTCGAGGCTCCGCGGTACCCGAAGGGTTATATCACGATGATCTTTTTTGCTGTTGGTATGGCGGGCACTTCGTTGTTGATCAGGTTCTTGCACCGTCGGGAACTGGGGAAGAAGCTCTCGGTGCCGGCTGCTTAAAGTGATGGAAAACGTCTTGCGTAATGAATTGCGTCCGGTGGTATCGAAAACGCCGTTATGTAGCCACTTTCGAAGGAGCTCTCATATGTTGATGAGTTTCTAAAACAGAGAATAAGATGCTGGGTAGTCGCTACAATCCCAACATGTTGAATCCTATGGTAACCCGATGAGTGGACCTCAGTCTGTATCTCACGGATTTAGCATGAGACCACACACGATGCATGGTTTCGATGACCTCAAATTTCTTTTACGTACTATTGTTCTAGTCTGTCTCAACTGCATCCAACTCTCGATACAATTTCTTCTTCACCTCCTCGCTAGCCCAACACATGTCAACTCCATTCCTCGCCAGCTTGACCATTTCCTTCTTACTGAATCCACAGTAGGTATACGCCTTCTGCATGTTGCCATCTACCCAAACATCATGCATGTATACCGGGTCATCGCTGTTAATGTTAAACTTGACACCCCTTTCCCACAACGTCCGAATCTTGGGAAACAGCACTTCCGTCGCCGTCCGCCGGTGATACGCGTGGGGACACAACGTCAAGCCGATACCTCGATCCAACAACCCCTGCAGCAGTTCCTCCTTATCCGCCGCATCAAGCCCGTGATCAATACGCTCCGCTCCAGCGCCATCACAGACATCAAAAATCGCCTCGTGGACGTGCTCAAACGTGTCCTTTTGCCCGAAATCGCAGTGCATCGTGACATGCAGCCCATCCATCTTCGCCCTCTGGAATCCTTGCTCGAAGAGCATCGGCGGCCTCTTGAAGGCGTTGCTAGCCAACCCGACAGCGTGGAAGAGACCCTTGCCACCCTCGACAATACCAGCGGCCCACGGCCTGGCAGCCTCGTACGCAGCCAACCCGTCCTTGAGGCTTTCATCGCGAATGAAGCAAAATATCCAATTCGACTTTACACCATGCACCTCCGCGCCATCACGCTGAGCTCTCAAGTACCCATTCAACACATCCTCCGCCGGCACGCCCCTCCGCGTATGCGCCTGGATATCGAAAAACGGCTCGACGTAGCGGACATTCATCTCGGCGCAGCGCCGGAAGTAGTCCATTGACATTTCGTAAAAGTCATTTTCTGTTTTCAATACTTCGCAGCCGGCGAAGTAAGCCTCGAGGAACGTCGGGATACCCGGGACGCGGCCGTTGATTTCGGGGCGATGGTTGAAGAAGACCTTGTATGAGTCCAAGAGGGCCTCGTAGGTTTCGTATTGGAGGGGCACGTTGTTGCGTTTTGCGAGTTTCCAGCGGAGGGCGGGGAGGAGGGTTCCCTCGATGTGGATGTGCAGCTCAACCTTGGGGAGGGAGGCAATAAAGGGTGAGATTTCGAGGCCGTTCATGGTTCTCGGTTTATTGGGGTTGGCCCGCTGTCAGATTCCAGGTTCCCGGTTGCTGGTGTCAAGATGAGAAGACAGTGATAGTTGAGAAGTCTGATCGTGTGAATGAAGAGCCAATCAAGCGGGGAGGATATGGCGGCTCGAGACTAGGATGTCTTGATATCTTTTTAGCCTCCGCGGGCACCTTTGCCGATCCGGCTGGGCGTCGCGTGGTTAATAGCCCGTCAGTCAGTAGTCGTACAGCGCCGGACGTGGTCCGACAACTCGACGATGGATCTCTTCTCGTCGGCTAATACAATTTCAGAAGCCATTTCTCAACAAGCTTAGTTCTGGAATATTTGTATACCTCGGCGTGTGAGAAGCACGAATCATATTAGACTGGAAACATCAGAATGGAGTTCTGATGGCCGATGTTCGCAGCAATGTGGGGTATTCAAGAAGGATTCGATAAGGAAATTACTAGCAACAAGAGTCACAAAATCAAAGACTAAAGTTTTGATCCCCCCATATTCTGCCCATGGGCCAACCATAACCGCCGAGTCGGTATCGAACACCTTTAGTTAATGTCAGCAACTCTGCGCTCGTCCACTCACATGGTCTTCATTCATCTCCAAAATCCGTCAAACGTCCTCTGCTCTCCCCACATCGCGACGGTGCCACGAGAGCTCATTGAACGGCGCGATCGCTGTAGCGCCACTAGCGGAGTAACGTCGTATCTCGTCGGTTCGGATATTCGCCGACAGCACACAAAGGTGGGACGATATCTCCAGGCCAATCCACGCAAGACACTGGAGAACACCGTCTATTCAGCGGAGTCTAGCGGTCGCTAAACCGTTCGCCCACTCCCACCCGACGGACGCAAACGCTTGTCTTATCAATTGACGTCCTGTTATCGGTCATTGTCTAGACATTTTGGTCGGTGAATTTACCGGTTCGCGGCCGTAGAACCGTTTGTTGGACAAGGGGACCGGAGCGAGAGAGGGAAGGAAAAGGAGAAACAGGCGAACGCGTCGGGCCTGTCATTGTCGGGGAAGATCGGCGGAAGATAAGGCACGTAACGTACTCTTTTGCTGTATTTCTTCTTTTGGCCGCGGAAAGGTCGCGACCATCCCCGCCCCCGATACCTTGTTGAATGGCCGCCGCCTCATTCAAAAGGGCGACGACACCCCGGCGCCGCTCTCGAGATGCGACCCTGGGATTTTCTGTAGGAGCTTCGAGTTCTCGGACAGTGGTCGACGAAGACGATCAAGAAATAGACGATCCAATCGACGAACGGCAGAACCTGCTCGCCAACATGGGGTCATCAACAGACGCACCGCAGAACCCTCCCGCAGAGGTGCAGGATGGGGAGAGGCAACACATTGACAGCGACATGGCCAAGAAGATTGTCCGCAAGATTGATTTCAATATCATCCCGCTGCTCTTCATCACTTACATGTTCAACTTCATGGACAAGACTATTCTGTCCAGCGCCTCTGTATTTGGTCTCAGAACCGACACCGTATGTCGTTTTCCCATTTGTCATCTCATCCACGCTACGACGGTATGTTGCTAACCTCGTGAACAGCATCTCAAGGGCCAGAACTACAGCTGGGTTTCCAGCATTTTCTACTTTGGCTACTTCGCCTGGACCTACCCAACCTCCCTCCTCATCGCCCGCCTCCCCGTCGCAAAGTACATGACCGCAAACACCTTCTTCTGGGGCGCTGTCGTCGCCCTCACGGCCGCCTGCACGAACTACGGCGGCCTCCTCACCGTCCGCTTCCTGCTCGGCGTCGCAGAGGCCACCATCACGCCCGCCTTCATGTTCCTCACCTCGACCTGGTACACCCGTGACGAGATCCCCACCCGCACGGGCATCTGGTTCGCCGGCAACAGCGTCGGCGGGCTCGTCGCCTCCTTTGTCGCCTTTGGCTTCGGCCACATCTCGAGCGACGACAAGGTCGGCCCCTGGCGCTGGATGTACATCATCCTCGGTGTCCTGACCTTTGTCTGGGCGTTTGTGCTGCTCATCTGGCTGCCCGATACCATCTCCAAGGCCCGCTTCCTCAAGCCTGAGGAGCGCCGGTACGCCGCCGATCGCGTCGTTGTCGCCGGCACGGGATCCACGGAGAAGACGCACTGGAAGTGGGACCAGGTCGTCGAGTGCATGATTGACCCCAAGACATGGTTCATCTTTGGTCTCGAAATCATCACCCAGATTCCTAACGGTGGCACTCAGAACTTTGCCAACCTCGTCATCAAGTCTTTTGGCTTCACCAGCTTGCAGTCGACACTCATCAACATCCCCTACTCGCTCCTCTCTGCCGCCATCATCGCCGGAACGGGCTGGATCGCCGGCCGCTACCGCAAGATGAATTGCATCCTGATTGCCATTGTCGTGTTGCCGTGCATCACCGGTGCCGCGATCATCTACTCCCGCGAAAGCGTCAGCAGCGGCGTCCAGCTCTTTGGCTACTTCCTTTTGTCTCCTGGTCCGGCTGCCATGCCACTTGCTATGTCTCTTGTCTCGGCGAACTACCGTGGCGTGACCAAGAAGATGACCATGTCGTCTCTGCTGTTCCTCGCCTACTGCGCTGGCAACATTGCGGGCCCGCAGTTCTTCAAGGCCTCCGAGGAGCCGCACTACAACACCGCTTTCCGCACCATCATGATCTGCTACTCGCTCGTCGTGGTGCTGGCGCTCGGTCTGCGGTTCTACCTCCAGTGGATGAATGCCAAGCGCACGAGGGAGGAAGGTTATGAGGGTAGCGCTGGCGGTGCTGGTGCTGTTGGTGGCGGTAAGGTCATGCAGGCAGAGGGTACTGCTGGTGATGTCGCGGACATGGTTGATCGGGTTGAGCTTCGGCCTGAGGATTACGAGGATGTGACGGACTGGAAGACCGCCGGCTTCAGGTATCGTCTGTAATAGGTGAAGTGGCTGCTTTGCTGGCAGAGGTCTGGGTTGATTAAGCCTCCGTAGATGGATACATAGTCCGTTTGCGCTCCTCACTCACCTCTCCTAGGAGATGAGACGTAGGGGTTCACAAACTTGATAGACACTTCGGTGAAACAGTCCTGGCCGCGCCGATTGTTATGTGGTGATGTGAAGTGAGATGATGCGACTGTGCTTCAGTCAAAGTGACCCGCGACATGGTGCTCAACAGCAGCAGCATCACCCTCAAACTCGCCGCAGACAGGGCAGGTCACGGTCTCAGAAACCGGAGTAGGCGCCGCTTCCTGCACCTCAGCGTCAGAGTTCGCAGCCGCTCTACCTCGCCCACCATTCTTCTGCTTAGCAGGCCGAATGTAAGCCTCAAGTCCAACCTGCGCCGAAGGCAACTCAGGCTCGGCATCTTGCCTGCGACCGCCGCCACGGCGGGGAGGTCTACGTGAGTCTCCATACGCGGTCGAGCCGTCGGCGACTTCCGAGGATATAAATGACGGATCTTGTGCTTGCTGCCTGCCATCGGTATGAGACTGAACTCGTCCGACCCGGCCGTCGGAGAGCCGGACTTTGATGCCTCGAGGGTGGTTGCCGCGCGTGAGCACATCCTGGACGATCCCGGAGACGGTGCGGCCTGTGGGTTGGTCTGCTTTGAGTACGATGTTGACGCCTGCACCGCGGACGACGGTGGCCATTGTGGGAACACGAGCCATCTTGAAGAAGATTTCTGTGGAAAGGACAAGACTGTCGGCGGTAATGCCGTTGTAGTTTCGGCAGGGGGGTGTAAGCGGGCGGTGTCGCGTCGCTGGTGATGGTGGCCCTACAGAAAATGTGAGTTTGGCGAATGACGCCACTAGGTAGCCAGGCGAGGGTTCTGTGGCGCGGCCGATCGCGGAAAATTCGCACTCGGCCCTGCCGAGCAACGCATCATGGACGCGGGAATTTCCGAATTTTTCATGAATCGGGCCGGGTGGCGCAATGGCAGCGCGTTGCTTTCCGGTGGCAAAGGTTCTGGGTTCGAGTCCCAGCTCGGTCGATTTGTTTTGCATTAGATGCTTACGAGCTATTTTTTGATTGACGATTGGTGATTGAGGGTTGTCTGATGAATTCCCGCAATTGATGGGGTGGTGGCCTGGGAACACTCTTGTTTCGCAGGGTTGGAACCTTGAAGAAGAGTAACAAAGCTTAGAAAAGGAAGGTACCTTACAGTACCAAGGTAAGGTAGTTAGGTACCTACCTACCCCAACTACCACCGCTCATTGTGGGGCCGTAACGGCTATGCGGACTGTTCACACCGGGAGGAAGGTGCCTGATGGCTCTGAGAACTTCATTCCCGATTATGGGCCGTACACTTTTGCTCATTTACTTCCGCAAGGTATCTCAAGTATCTTTCTTTAGCAGCAGCTCAAGTTATCAGTATCAACTAAATATTCTTCTTGCTCAAGGTCATCCTGATCTTTCACAACTGTCGGCACCCATTTGGCGCCTTCTCGGACACTTCAGCGCCTAACACCTCACCTCTTTCCAACTTGGAACGACCAATCTATAGTTTCATAATCACATGGCCCTCTTACTGAACCTTCCACTCATCCTCCGACAGCCTGCCTCAGCTATCCTCAAGGTTCTAGCCTTACGCTCAGTATGTATTCTATCTTCAACATGAAAATTAATGCAATCACCTTTGTTCCCAAGTTCGCCATCGTTCAGCACGCTAACTCTATTCTCTACGCACCTCTCAAGAACTTCCACACTTGACACGCTTTACCAGAAAAGAATTCTCCCTACTTACGAACGAAAACTGACTAACAACCTCGTCATTGACTTTTCTTCTTACTTCCATTCACCAGCCGTTATCGATTTCACCATGGCTGCTTCTGGCCAACATGCTGTCGGAGAGATCTGCTACAGTCCTGGGCTGAATGTTTTCAACGACGGTCTGAACTACGCCGATTCTCCCCCACGAAGCATGATCATTCAAGTGTCCGCGTTTCAGGATCGAGTTGTATCACAACTCAACGCCATGCCGGCCCTACGCTGGCTCAACCTTGATGACAGATGGAGATTGCCAAGGCCCAATGAAGTGTACACCGGAGGTCAAAAAGACCATCTAAGTGGCCTTTGGATTGGGTGGTTTCTCCCCGATTTCCAGATCCTTGACGACTATTTTCCACACTCCGGCCGTTGGCGTTCCCTGCCCCGAAAACAGTGCGTGAACAATCATACGACACACCCATACCCTCGTCCCATCATCAGAAAGGCCTTCAAGGTTGTTTATAAACCAGGTCGGGAGGGGGACACCAAATTCTTTGCCCTCTGTACCCCGGATGCAAATGGTATCTGCCAGGCCAAGGTGGTCCCAGATGGTGCACGGAACATATTCTTCTTCAAAGAGTGGAGAGATGACGCTGTTCGCGGTAGTTGGGCTCGCCAGAGAACGTGGATGACCAATGCCAAGGCCGGAGCATCCAGGATCTACTCAATGATTAACGCCGCTACCAATCAACCAGTTCACAGCCAGCAACATACCTCTGAGTCCGAGTATGAAGATTGCCTCGAGGAAGAAGATGAAGAAGATGATGACGATGGAGAAGATGAAGAATCCGAGTATGCGGAATCCGAGATTGAAGGATCTGGATCTGAAGAAGAAAACTCAGAAGAAGACTTTGAACAAGAAAGACTACTGGAATCCCTGCGCCCGAGTCCACCAGAGTTCGCTTCGTACCCAGAGTCAGAATCGGGCTCTTCAGACGAGGATGAATATCACTCGAATGGTCAAGCGAGTTGTAGAGGGTCCCAGCGCACACCGAAACAAGACATCAAGGCGAATATCTCAGCAAGAATCGCCTCTGAGCCTCGCTCCAACCTACGACGCCGGCCCGCGTCGAGCCGCAGATCAATCCATGTCAGTCATAACCTGCTGTCTCGGCGCAACACGAACCGCCCTGGACCTGCAGACACTCTCGTGGGCAATGTCGCTACAAATCTCAAGAGAAGTCAGAGTCCTATGCAAAGCCTGAGTTCAAAGAGTGAGAAGAAGAGACGCATTAACCTACAAGTCGAGTCTCCTCCTGACTCGACCCCAAAAAGACATGCACCCTTGGGAGTTGACGAGCCGCTCACTTGTCGACCGGAGAGAGCTCAGCCTGCCAGCAGAACATTTATCAAGAACGAAGATACTCAAGACAGTGATGATGAGATTCAGTTCATCAAGGAGGTCCCAACACAGAGACCTCAACAGATGACCACTAAAGTCGAAGCATTCACTGTGGCTTCATCTGAGACAAGCATCACCTACATCAGCAAGTTTGTTGCAGCGGGAAAGCTTCTCCAGCTGGCGCGTCTTCCCGATACTTTCTCTCGAAAGATTATGCTTGAATCCTTCAGCAAGCATTTGAAGTCGACGAACTTGGCACAGTTCGATGCCCTAGTCAAGAACATCGTGGACTCTTCGGAAGAAGGCGTCCGCGTCATGATCGCTGAGACGCTGCAAGAGCAATTGAAGGGCAGATTGCCTGTCGTCAGTGGTGCTTAGGAAGTAGGCACATCATCTTTTAGGGATCGTGGGACCGTGATGACTAATTGGGTCCTGCTAGATTTATCATCATCAATGTCTCGACAAAAAACACAATCCAAGACCCTAAGGACGGCCGAGTGTCCCAAGGCCAGGATGAGCAAGATGATACCCCCATCAGCGCTTGGCTCTGGCACGGATTCGAACAGTAAGCTGGCATTGGGAAAGGGGGGTAACTTACACATGGGGATTAGTTTACGCGAATCAAGATAGAGAGCTGGCCCGCCGCTGATAATGAGTTCGAGAGAATTGAAAAATTTCATTACTGTTTATGTCGAAACTCCAGTCCGGCTTAATGTTTCCTGCCTTTAAACAGAAAATGCGTCAACGTGAAACCAATCCTGGATGGACGTCTGGAACCTTTGACGTTTGCACAAGTTGAAGCAGCAAGAAGGCTCTTGGAGAAATTCAAGTTCCCCTTTTCAATCATAAAGCAACGCCTTTATATTAATTGACCTGATCACTCCTTCTTACCATAGTCTCACCAGTTTCCTCCTTGTTCCCCGTATCTGCATGATCGACCAGAAGCCAACTCTGTGACGGACCGGGAATGGGAGCTACCTTTGCCCACAAGATCAATACGTTTTTCGGTCTTCCCTTGCTAAAGGAAAGCGCTGTGGACTCGACTTCCTTTCAATATTGTTTCTGAGGCATCTACAGAGTCCTTTTCTCCTTCCTTCTGTACCTCTTGCAACTTGTTACCTACATACTCTTCCATCCTCTGCAGCCCGTATTCTTCCCTCCAACTTCACTCGATTGGGAATCAATTCCTATTCCCTCCTTTCAACGAGGCTGCCAGAAGCTTCAAGAATGGCAGAAAGTAGCGGAAAGGCGCCCAAGGTAGCCGACAAATACGCCTGCGGTCCCCCAGCATATCTCATTCCTAATTTCCAGCGAGAATGGTCAGAATTGGCTGCCAAGCTCTTCAACACCGACGCCTTGGACATTCTGTTGACATCAGAAGAAAAGGAACAAGCCCTAGCACTGATCGCCACACCCATCACTAGTTCGTCCTTCGGGAAAAAGTCCAGAGCCCAGGCCCTCCACAGAACGGTCAGCCAAGCGCGGGAGATGGGACAGGGCAAGCGACCTCCTGCCAGAGTGACAGTTATTGCAGCTCTACTCATCTACACACTTGAGCCTCCGCTGACTTGGTTGGAATGGGCGACCATGCAGCAACCACTTGGTGTTCTGCGATATGTTCGGGACTGTGCTGATGGCCTCAGTATTTACTCGTCGGAGGGTATGTTGAAGACAGCGTTGGCACATTCTCCGGCAGCATCCGCCCAAGATCATTCAGACAGCCTGTTTGTTGTCGACAAGCCTTCGTTGAAGGAAGCCAGCGCCAAGAAATCCAGCACCGAACATTTGGAACCTGCTCAGCTCAACTCAGATCATCTAGCTCTACCGGCTATGAGACCTTGGACGCGCTCCATTACTAAGCTCACCACACCTTCGCCGCCGAGCAAGAAACGAAAGGCGGAATCCGAGTCCCCTCAAGACAAGAAAACTGTACCGAAGAAGAAAGTCGCCAGTTCAAAGAAGAAGGCGGCCACCCAAAAGTGGAAGACGATGGCTGGATCGGGAACCAATCCCCTCCCAAAAGCCAAGAACCCCAACGTCAGCTCAAATATGCCAACCAGAGGTGCCATGTCGATAGCTAATCTTCATCCTACTCAATAGACTCGAATTACTGAAGCTGTGAAGCGACAGCAGCCGATCGATAATGCCTTGTTGGCCAGATACATGAAAAGCGCCCCCATGCTTGACAGAATTGCAGATTACAATGACGGATCCGTCCGTCGAGTTGCTCTTGGCAGTTTTCTCAAAGACTTGAAGAGCTCCGGCTGGGAAGATCTGGAGAAATGTACCTGGCAGCTCATCAAGGACGACGACTATGAGTCTCGCGCGTTTCTCGCAGAGGCTATTATGAACGACGTCTATAAGCGCATCAATGAGTTGTTCGAAGACGTCCCGCAGCCCCCGCAGCTCACAGAGCCCCCGCAGCTCGAAGATGCCACACATCAACCCGCGCAACGGCCCACGGAAGCCAAGCAGACCGCACAACTCAGTCTGGATGAGCAACCTATGGATACACCAACGAAGCAGAGAAGCCGGTCCGGGCCCAAGCATGGTAAGAAGTCAATTCAGACCAAGAAGCGTACCACAGAGATAAAGAGGCCCAAAATGAACACGTTGGATGAGCATAACACACCTACGAAGCAGGCAAGCCGGCCTTTGAGATTCTCTCCCAGCAGTCGTATGTCAGATGACGTTTTCAACGACACTTCACCTGTATCTGCCGCCTCACCAGCGGCGGGTCGGCGGCACCCCAATTTGGCCTCCCCGCCTCGCTTCAACATTCGAGGAATATTGTCCAAACGACTGAAGTCGAAGGACAATCAGATTTGAGCGGCATCCTTAAGTCCAGTCCTTGAGAACTGGCAACATTCTCCAGTGCTTACTTGCACTTCGAGCCCTGGCAATTGAGGAGGCTTTATGATGTAACTGTATTGGGTAGCCGAAAATGGCTACGAGAGGAAGAGGCCCCTGTGTGGACTGGGGGTGAGGATACTGGCATGAGAGAACGTATTGTGGCTAACGAGTGTATGCTTCGAGAAGGATGAGATTGCTGGTAGTATGGGGATCATTATGTCACCATGTCGCCGTGTCGCTTTAGCCAGCTTGATGTAAGATAGATAACGATTAAATCAAGAACCACAGTGAGTTGGGCCTTTGACTGTGACTGACTTCGATAACACGTCTGAGGACACCGCCAGAGACAGACTTTTGGCGCGGAAGCCGAGAGTACGCAGTCTCCACAAAAAAGCTACGAGTTTAAGATTTCCGTTGGTGAGAGATGAGATGAAAAGTTTGTACGTTTGGCACCAGATCTCGCACCTGAAAAAACCCCCCTCGATCGAAGTGTTGTTTCTTTACATGTGAGCTGAGCCTTTCATGAGTGAGACGTTGCTTTGCTGATGTAATCAACCGCCGCAATTTGTTTCGGCTTGCGCTTCATTGGCCATCTCCGCAGGACGTGTGGGGCCCGACTGCCTGAAAGTCACTGGACTTCGCGACACCCGTCGCCACTTTCCAGACGCGCTCTCCCATTTAGCGGCGATCCCTCCCGCCAAGTCGTGACGCCGTCAACGAGGGTCCTTCCCCCCTCGTCGATCCGACATGACTCTCGCCTCCCTTTGCAATGTCTTCCTCCTTTTCGCTTGATTCGGACGATGAATATGGCTACGATCTTTCTTTGGAGGATGAGACGTTGCTGAGCCAGCTCATCACCGATAACCCCGCCCCCACCTCAACCTCATCGCGGAACCCCGCCGCTCCATCGATCGCTTCAGACTTTGGCATTGACACCGTCGCCGAGCAAGAATTTTGCCTTGAAGATGCTCCCACGGATCTTCTCTCATATCGCACGACTGGCACAGCCAAGGGCCCTGTACGACCTAGCCGGAGTCGCTCAAAGGCGACCCTTACCGACGATACGAAGCAGGCAGATCTTCCCCCGGCGTCACCTGGCCACTCCGTCGCCTACCCGGATTGTGAGTGTTACTTTGCGAGGCAAGCTTCTGCTCAAACTGACTGACGTGAAAGCGCTTAGTGAGCAGGGCCCTTTCGAATAACAATATTGCTCCCTCATCACCAAAGCCGAACGAGAAAGCCACCCCTGATCCCGAGAATGATACCCGATCGCCGCTTGTTCGATTCCGATCGTATCCCCGGAAGCCATTCACCGTCACCGACTTGACCTCGGGTGCTTGGTGCGAACTACAATACTTCTATACCCTCACCCGCCTACCATATGGTCGGAAGACCCGGACAGCGGCGATGAAGCAGGGAACAAAGGTACACCAAGACCTCGAAGACGAAGTCCATACAACGGTCCGCGTCGAGATCGCGAGTAAAGAAGATGGCTTTGGTCTCCGGATGTGGAACCTCATTCAGGGACTTCGAACACTCCGTGAGACCGGCATGACCCGTGAGCTTGAAGTATGGGGATTCGCCGACGGAAATCTGGTCAATGGCGTCATCGACGGTCTGAGCTATGAGAATCCGGACCCGGAGTTCATGGAACAGCTGAGCCAGGAGTCTGAGCAGAATCAGTCCAGCATAACCGACTACTTTCCTTCGAAGGAAAAAGCGGACATACCTCAGATATACCTGACGGATGTGAAGACGCGTGGGTCTATGAAGGCCCCCAACAGCCCTGCGTTACTGCGGCCGGCCAAGGTGCAGCTCTTCCTGTACCAGCGTTTCCTGTCAGAAATGGCAGCGGATAAGCTGGACTACCTCCGTATCTTCCGGCGGTACGGTCTGGATCCAGATGAGCCGTTCTCCGACTCATTCATTGCCCAGATTGGTAGCCTGCACGACGAACTGTTCTTCGATGTGGATTCCTCTCCTGACGGGGACTACATTCCGCCGTCTCCCACTACAACAACGTTCGATACTGAAGCTGATGGAGCAAACCGGAAAACATCAGCGCCGGACTTCATCAAGTACAGGACACTCAGGGAATTGCTCCCTCTTCTCGTATCAGAGTTGCGCCAAACCTTCCCTCATGGCGCCGACTCGGTGGGTAGGCTTCTCGCTGTGGAGTACAGGTACCGCGGAGACGGTTCGCTCATTGATAGCCAGGTCTTCCCCATGGATGATCGGGCGCTCAATCTCTACTTGGGTAACACGATGGAGTGGTGGCGAGCGGACCGTCAACCGCGGGGTGTGCAGATTGAGGAGGCGTACAAGTGTCGAATGTGTGAGTTTGTGGGCGACTGCACATGGCGGTCTGCCATGGATGAGGAGAGATTGCAGAATACTAGGCAGCGTTTGGCAGGCAGGAGTAAGCATGTTACAAGTGGGTGATATTGCGATTTCGCTTCCGTTTTGCGTCTGAGATGGCATTCTCTTCTTTGCGAGGCGCATTATTCGGCTAGGGCCCACATTACACGGGATTCAAGAATCAGGATAGCTTATGAATATGAGTTGATGATCTACATATCAAGGCAACATGTGTTTCTTGCTTCTCTGAAAGATGGTCTGCAACACGGGTCTACTTTCGACCTAGCCTTGTGACTTTCTCAATAGAATCCTACTGATCCTTTTCCAATAAACGCGAAGGCACTGGGGCCCAGGCCGCCGCCTTTCCGAGTCCTTCAGTTAGTAAATCGGTGAATGTCTTGGTGATGTTGAAATTAATTCACTCTTCAGTACCTGAGGCCCACCCCTCGCGCCAGACCTCCTTTCTCAAACAGTGGGATTCAAGAGAAGGCAAGAACACTAGTGCCTTCCTCCTTCTTCGGCACCGCGAGGCTTGACCTTCGTCCACAATTTCCTCCCACACAACAGTCTTCAAGGCAGGCTTCCGTATCTCGGGGAGCGGTCTCCTGGTATTCTCTTGACTTTGCTAGCCACTCCCTTCTACATCAAAACTTCCCCATTCCAACCCCAACAACACCGACGATGGGCGCTAAGGAGGGAGGGAACAGACCCCAAGATCCTAGAGCTTGTGAGCTCTATCGAGACCAAGCCGTCTTGCGAGAACTATGAGCGCATGGTCTCGGGCATGGTGTACGACCCTCTTGACCCTATCCTCAACCAAGGCCGCCACAGAGCCCGCTGCCTCGCGCGCGACTTCAACGAGATCGACCACCGCCATAACACCCTCCAAGAGGTGGGCAAGAAGAAGGAAGAGATTCTGCAGCACCTTCTGGACAAATTTGGTGAACAGTCATTCATCGAGGCCCCTTTATTAGTCGATTACGGCTGCAACGTCATCTTTAACTCCAAGTCCTTTGCCAACTTCAAGCAAGTCCTACCGGTGCTTCAACCACCTGATCGCTTGAATGTCAGGAGAAAGAAAGAGTGTGTTCTGACGAATATGTGCAGCCTGACCATTCTCGACGTCAGTCTCGTCACTATTGGCAAATGTGTTCAACTCGGTCCCAATGTCAGCATCTACAGCGCAGCCCACAACACGAGCATTCTTTCCCGAATGAAGGGCGAGGAATATGGTCTGCTGGCGACCATCGAAGATGATTGCTGGATCGGTGGCGGTACAATCATTCTGGCTGGTGTCACCATAGGATCAGGCACGACTATTGGTGCGGGCTCTATTGTGACAAAGAGCTTGCCGCCTCATTCGGTGGCGGTGGGCAACCTTGCCAGGGTCACCAAGAAGGTGCGAACACTGGAGAAGGAGATGGTGATTTCGAACAAATGCATCAAAGAGTAAACTGATCAGGAGACTTATTGGCGGCATAAAGAGGCGTTAAGTCACGAGTGGTGACACAGAATCGCTTTGCTGCCGAAGGGGCATTTACATGTTCCGGTAGTCGATGGTGATACAGAGTTCTTCAGATCATAGCAATGAAAGGAAGTTTACCCAAACGAGTAGACAGCAACGACGTGATAACTCAGCACATGAATGGCTCTCTCTTCCTTGTTAACGAACAGTCATTTGCAAATCTCAACGTATATCTCGAGATCTTCTTGGTTCAAAAATTATATCTAAGCGCAATTATTGACATGAAAAACCTTTCCTGAAGCAACAGGAGCATGGACATCTGAGTATAAGAATATATACATTGATTCCTTTAGTAAGGCTCTTCTGCTTGATCAACACCATCGCTACTCCAAAGTCGCACCCAGAAAGGCCAGCACTCAATACTTTCACTTCACTCCCATTGGACATTCACAACATGGAGTTCGCAATTTATGAGCCCCGTATACCTTCAGCTGAGCAGATCAATAAGCACGCCACTGTCAGCCAGCGTCTCGATGAGTACGAAACACTCCTTAAGGAAAGGGCCACTAAGATCATTGAGAGAAAAAATGAAGAAGTCAAGGATTGGCTGGCATTCTCTTGTAAAGCGGAGGCCTACGGAAGACTCGAAGCTGATTGCAGCATCCTCCGCACTTCTCGGCACTTGGCCATCCGAGACAAATTTTTGGAGCAAAAACTGACGACCAAGGACCTAGACGAATACTTCAAGCGCATGGGACACCTCGATCATTTTCTGGCAATTCTGCGCCTGCAGCACTCTGATTTCGTCTTCGAAATCTCCGATGCTCTCCTTGACGACAACAACCCAAATCCCTTTTCGGACGAATCTCAGAGGGCCACAGTGAGAAGGCTCAAGGACATCTTCCTGACCTGGAAACCTGTCAACAAGGTACCCGATATTATGAAATTGGCGGAGGAATACAAGATTGAGGTTCCGGATGTCAATGATGAGAAGGCGTGGGAGAGAGAGCGGGAGTTACTGCAAAGAATTGTAAATTTCCAGAAACATTATGATAAGAAGAGAGAAGAGGACAGACGAGAAAATGCCAGGAAGCGATTGGAAGAGCAGCGAGAACAGCAAGGGTCCTCCGCTTGAGTTGTCAAACTTAAGCTTGCGTCCACGACTAAAGCTTCTCGCCGAGCTGAGGTGCCTCGTTAGCCTAGAAGTCACAAAGCCTTAGCGTGCGTCCCCAAATCTCAACCTGTCATAATACGGCTCTCCAATAAACCCCATTCTACAACTCACCATCCTCAAATTGACTCCTATTTTTCTCGCCTTCTTTTCACTTCCCGCTTTGCTCATTGCTCTTGTCTCTTCCAATCACTGTGGACTGACTTTATTTCAATTGTCTCTACTCACTAATGTTGAAAATTCACCAGGCATAGATAGATTGTTTGTTACTGCCGTTGTAAGATGATTTCCCAGACGCATGGTCAACATAGTACTATGAGCAGGCATATCGTATCGATAAGATGAGTTTTCGATCCCCTTGACCAAGGAAGAAACTATGGTTTCTTCCATGAGCTTGCTTGAGCCTCGATAAGGCGCTCAAGATACTCCTCCTCGCATAGAGTCCGACGCCTGCTGACAACGTGGAAAACTAGTTCTGCGACCAAGTCCCGGTTCCAGATACCGAGGACGCAGGGCTGATTGGTCGATCGAATTGGCCAGTGAGCTTGGTTCCATTGGCAACTTCGAGCGTGATGGATTGAGTTCCGACCGTGCCATCAAAATCGCGATTGCTAGTCAAACTCCTAAGTGACTCATATTCCAGAGTCGCTTCGTTGGATGTGAAGTCTGGAACGGCCGGGCTGATGGTTCCACTGAAGTGGTACTGAACATCATCGATAAGGAATGTCGAAGTGAACTTGCTTCCTCCGGCAACACCCTTAATGTATCCTCGTGCGGAAGGCATCTGGAGATGCCAAATCAGTGTTGATCTGATTCATCATTGATGTTAGTCGGGCACGTACCTTTGCGTATGAGAATTAAAGCTGATGTGGGAATCTCGATAGACGATGCAATTTAGAGATGACGAGAGTGTGAGATGAATCAGCGAAGATGGGATAGTATCGCTGTCCAAATGTCCCCTTTTTATTATTTTTCAACAGTCTCTATTTACTGGCCGGCTCGGCTTGAATGAACTTAATCGTGATATTAGACAGTATGCACGGCTTGAAAGGATCATCCCTTGTGCAGGCTTCTCAAGCAAGCAGCACTGTCTAACTTGGATATGTGGACGCCGATCAACTGCTAGTACTAGCTCGCATCTGGACACATCTTTCACTGCACATTCGTGTAAACGCAAAAGAGCTAAAGCTGAACTGAAACAGATCACCCCACTTTAGCAAACATCGTAAACGACACCAATCAAGTGCAGCATCCTATCGTAGGCGCTCGAAAATCAAATTCTCAACACTTTCTGTTCGCCTTGAAGGCTGTTAGGATGTCAACTTAATTCTATGCTCACTGTTTCATTGAACCTTGGCCTGTTTGGTCTACCTATGCAGATGACAGGTGTGGCTTCAACATGCACCGCCTTTGACACCTTGCCTAATGGTTATGGGTTGCCGTTGCGGTACCTTCTAAGTGAGACTATCCCTATACAGGAAGTTTCGGCGAACAATCAGACAGTCCAAAGGGCACCAATGCGGAGACAGTCAGAAACCTGGTTAACTACTTACCATGCCTTGGTGAGATTTGATTTTCGCCTTCATCACGTAAACTATGGTGCCTGATGCGTGCAGCATGGCTAAGGAAAACGAGTAGAATAGCCATTACGTATGGCAGTGTGTTTACGGCAGTCCTAGGTGGCTGGTGACGGCTCACGCTTGAAGATATTTTGACGGCTTTAGCAGAAATCTCAACATCACAGATATGACTGTTGACTGGATGGAATCATTTGCTGTTGCAGGTCTGACTTGATCAGTCGCCACTCCATGGTCGAATGGCGTCATCGCCATGTCGAGTTCAAGGTGTGTATTCTGGCTATGCTGCCACAGATGCTAGCAGTGTCTCAGCCATAATGACACCAAATAGAGTGTCGGTGTGTAACTTTCTGTGCCGGGTAAGCTGATTACTCGTGCCCAATTCATGCCATATCGAAGTGGCTTTTGCTTGCTTGGGAATGACGTATTTTTGATACCTTTGTCAAAATCCTAGATACGGCCTAACCAACAGAGTCACGTTGTGATCAGTTGCAGAGTATTAGCAGCCCCGAGAGAACTCCTCAGCTGGGACTTGCAGGATTGAGTCAAAATTGCAGCAGTGATCCAATTATTCTAAAAAGAAACTATGCACCAGGCGGTTGTCTCTGGGAAATGCATGTGCATTTACCGACCTGCAAAATCACTGGCGATATTGACTGCAAGAGCTTCATTGACGTGTCTATTTGAAGATGAAAGATTGACTGGCTGCAGTCAGATTAAAATTGGCAGCTTAGAAGGAAAACTGGTTTCGAGATTTCAGAAGGTTTTGCCGCTACTTCTATACACTGATTTTGAATACCACACAACCCTCTCCCCTCTCCCCTTTACAAGATATATCTCTCAGGGGTATGAAGTAGTGCTAGTTCACACAAGCTATGACATGTACTCACTCGCTTTCTTACCAGAATGGCTCTCTGATTTTACTCGTAACGCTATTGTGTATCCCCTTGACACGGAGATCTTCGTGATAAAGATGTTTGATTACATCGGATGGGAAGAGGCATGGGGCTCCTTTTCAACGTAGATACCTTAGACTGGGAGTGCCGTTGGTACTTTGGTGGCAAGAATAAGTTGCTGTCAGGGCGGATACAGGCAGCCGACGGAGTCATGGCATCGTTGACAAGGCCATGAAAAACTACCATGGCGGTCGCCAGACAAGTGTTGAGAATGAGAAGATGGCGTGGTCTGTCAACCGAATTTGCGAAATAAATGACTTTTGGGAGTAGTCTTTCGCGATGTCGATGGTCGAGCTATGGACGTTGTATGATATTTGCGTCGGGTGGACAAGCTACAAAGTCTGCGATGGGGTTGACGAGTAACCAACAGCAGATAAGGGCATGCGTCGACAGCAAATGAGCCCAGTAAGGGTAAGAATTCGCTATCTCGAAATAGAATATTCAATTGTTTGCTCTTTTGCCAAGGTCAGTCAATGAGCCAGAGTCGCTAACAATCCGTCTGGTGTCATCCGACCAATTGGCAGTGGCCATGTTATGACCAACTGAGCTTTGCTGCCATGATATGCTCTTTGGGGGTAATGCTCCTTGCCAACGACAGGGTCCAGAGCGATGTTGCCCCGCAGCCGTGCCGCAATGATTGTTAAGCGAGACAGGCCGATGGGATTGACAAGGTTGTATCTAGAGAGGCCACGTTCCACATGATCGGGAGCGATATAGTGAGGGGTAGTCTGCCTTCTTTACCTTGGGAAACCGCCATCCACTAAAGCTTTGGATATTGCTATCTCGATTGCAATTCGGTCTTGAGCCAGGACTTCACAGGAGCGCCTGAATCCACCGAAGCCTAGTAAACGGTGTTCGTTCAAAGCTGAGATCATGCAGGAGCCCCAGAATGTAAGAAAAGCCTGAATAGGGATGTTATTTGTAGATCTCTGGGTCGTATGCTGATGAGATTTCGGATGAGTAGCCAGCCACGCCAGTGGATGACCCGACATCGGAATATGGAGATGATGTGAGTCTTATTGTTGCATTACATTAGCAGTGACACATGCATTTACAATTGCCTGACATTCCGACAGCATTCCGAGCATTCGTCGCTAGCCTCTCTAAGATCGAGTATTCTCGAGCATCAAGCTGAGAATGGACGGACGTATCATTCCATGAGCTCGGGAAGTATGTATTCCCATCATTCAAGCTCTGCGAAAACATATCCTAATGTTTTGAGCAGAGTATAGCTTCCCTAATGATGAGGTGAGCAACACACTGATCCTGGGTCTGATGCTATTCTAACACAAATATGGCTGAAGCCTGAGAATGACCGTCTTGGTGAGCGACTGCTTCGACTTTATGGCCTTGGACACAAGATTCCCGCGAGTTGCTAATTGACCCTAGATTTGCAACATCGAATCTGGCTGCTACAGCTCGAGGAACAGTTAGCCCTGTGTCCTGCGCACAGAACCGCAAAACGGGTGTTGGATATGGGAACCGGAACCGGGATCTGGGCCATTGATTTCGGTTCGTCATGCTCAATTATGGAATCACGGTTTTGTGCCACTGACACGTCGCTTTAGCGGACAAATTTTTGCATGCAGAGGTTGGAAGATAAGTTTCCGAGGCAACTGGATGATGGAGTCTGACATTCAGTAGGTCATTGGCGTTGACCTGAGCCCCATTCAGCCTGAGTGGTATGTTGACGTTCTTCAAATCAACTGCGTTAGCATCTTACTTATCATTGGTTTAGGGCGCCTCCGAACTGTGTGTTTGAGGTCGACGACTTAGAAAAGCCATGGACCTGGAACGAGCCCTTTGACTTCATCTACTGCAGAAGTATGGACGGCGCATTCGCGAATAAGGAAAGGATGATTAAGAAGATTTACAAGTAGGACAACCCTTCTTACCCAATGCGCTGGTTCTTGCGCTTTTGCTGAACATCACGCCTGTCTCACGTAGTGGCTTGACTCCGGGAGGTCATCTTGAAGTCGCGGGACTCGAATTACCGCCTGGTTGCGACGATGCTTCAGTTCCCAAGGACTCTGACTTGTGGAAGTGGCACGAGCTGCTACAAGAAGCCGCGACAAAGATCGGACGGCCGCTGGAGAGTCTGGCCCATAACAAGGCGGACCTAGAGAACGCTGGCTTTATCAACATTGTCCGTAAAGACTACAAGCTACCTCTCAACACCTGGCCTGCGGATCCCCATCTGAAAAATCTCGGAAAGTGGCAATTTGTCAACCTCAATCTCGGTCTCGAGGGGCTGTCCCTTGCTCTTCTGACCCGTGTTTTGGAATGGTCCAGGGAAGAGGTTCTTGCCCTATGTGCAGGCGTTCGGAGAGATCTGAAGGATAAGAGAATGCACGCTTATTGGAAAATGCAAGTTCACGCCTCGCGTTCTGCTGTGGGCTTTTTATGCTAACATTTTCAGTCACGTTGTCTATGCGCAAAAGCCCGAGGATGCCTCTCCTTCTGAGGAGTCGCAGGAGTGATGGGAAATGGCAGTCATTGAAGATAGCACATGAAATTCAAGCTGTTCATGCAATGAACTTGGACAAATTCTGCGTAATGTTCCGAGCTACTAAAAAGATTAAATACCTACACGTTCCTTTGACCTCAGTCCTAAAAAGTGCATGAGAAGACACCATACTCAGAGTGATCCCACGACAGCTCTATGATCCTACTCGATCAAAGAATGTCGTCAAAATTAAGTAAATGATACATCCCACCGGTGCCCGGTATCCGGGCAATAGAGAGAGCCACACCCGTCCCCGGACAGCGGCCTTGTTGGTAAATCGGCGCGGCGTGCGGCAGGGCCGATACCCACATCCCGGCAGTGGCCGGACGTGTGGAGGCACTATCCGTAGGGTAAACTTAAAGCGGGCTTGGCAACCTTTACCTTAAGCTAAGCCTCGGGTTCGGGTTAGTCGGTGTTACGACAGGGATAAGGAGGCCGTCTGCCGTCCCCGCAAAGCTCTCTATCTGATCCCAACCCCATTCCTGAACTTCCCCTTTTGCACACGAACACTTACGCGTCTCACTGGCTGAAGAGGGGTCGCATTAGCCCCATAAGAGAGAGACCTTTTTGCCTCTCTTCCCCATCATGACTGGGGCCGCACAAGATTTTCTAATTGCCAGCCAGCTCAGCCAAGCGCCCCCCAAACGACCTTTCGTCTCTAATTCATTTACCTTTACCTTTTACTCCGTATCCCCGTCTCTATCCGCACCTTATTCTTTGCTCCTCGCTCTGGCCCCGTTCTGACTGATTTCTTGTTCATCTGAGCTCAACTAGTGCCAAGGTACCCGCGTATTACCAACCAAACACACACGCCTACCCACGTGCTCACAGGCTCACACAAACATACCCTCGTCTACTGTCATCGTTTGATTGTCGGTGAGACAGTAACACTATTAAAACATACCTTCGGACTTTGCCCCACTTTCTCAAAGGAAAACAATCAACGGGAACGGCAAATAACTACGGGATAATCGAACGCTGGAGCTCATCGCCATCTCGCATACTATTACCACGACATGCCGCCCCGGAAGGGTAGTCCCAAGGTGAAGACGGGATGTCGGACATGCAAGTGGGTTTTGCCTTTTCCCCTCAGTGGCTTGCTGGAATCAGATCCTTCCGAACCTTTATCTTTCATTATCCCTCAAATGGCAAAAGGGAAAAAATCTTGCTTGGGAGGCCTTGGCTGACTCTGGGATGATAACCAACTAGAGCTCGAAAGGTCAAGTGCGACGAGACCAAACCCAAATGCATGCGATGCACATCGAGTGGCCGGCAATGCGCCGGCTACGAGCCGACGCTCGAACACGGCCTATCGTGGTATCGGCCTCAGCAGCTAACCGCTCACGACCAGCGTGAGGGCAGAGCCTTCCAGTTCTTTTCTCACATGGTCGGGCCCGTCTTGTCGGGTCCGATGGACACGTACTTTTGGACGCACTTAGTTGTACAGTTCAGCCACTTTGAGCCCGCCGTGCGTCATGCCGTCCTGGCCATCAGCTCCCTGTACGAGGATTTCCACGACGGCGCCCGTGTCACGAGACAGAAGCCCGGAAACGATTTCGCGTTGAGTCACTACAGCGCGGCTATCCAGAGAATCAAATCCGCGCAGGATGAGCAGCTCGTGTTGCTGGTGTGTATCCTCTTCATCTGCATCGAGTACCTCCAGGGCGACGTCGAGGCCGCGCTCCGGCACTGCAAGCACGGTATCATGATCCTCAACCGGGTGGGCTGCTCTTCGTGGGCGCACGACTATCTGATGCCGATATTCCGGCGACTGAGCTTTGCCTCGTTCTTTTTAGGAATAAAACCGTCCGCAGACGCTGCGGTACCGGGTCTGTTAGGATTCGAAGTTCCGATACCAGACAAGATCGAGAGTCTGGGGGAAGCACAGAGCGCGATCGACGACTTGATGATCCACGCCATCCGATTTGTATCTGGCGAACCAACAGCCTTCGATCGGCAGGATCTCGAGACGCGGTTAGGCCAGTTCCATGAAAAGCTCACCGAGTTTGACGACTCGTTACCCCAGACAGAATCGGCGGCAAAAGTCGCGATTTGCAGCATGTTGATGAGATTTGAGATGGCCAAGATACAGATAGATACGATTGATGGCAAGGAGGAGACAAGATTCGACAAGCATGTCGAGGGTTTCCGCAGAACGATAGAGCTGGCAAGGCGAGCGTCACATCTGAGGAAGACGTATCCCGACGACCGTCCGCACGCCAGCTTCACATTCGAGAGCGGTTTTCTATCACCAATGTCTTTTGTATCCAACAAATGTCGAGACCTGAAATTGAGGCTGGAAGCGTTGGACTTTATGGTTGAGCTCGCCGCGCCGAAAGAAGGCTTTACGGACGTTGGCACCTTGTGCAGGATCGGCCGGCGAAGCATCGAGGTCGAACATGGGATATCTTTGATCGACGGCACGATTGAAAAGGATCCAGTCGCGCTCGCGAAGTTCTCCTTCCCTCCTGAAGAGAACAGGATGTTTGCCGCACCAATAGATCACGAGTTGTACGTGATCAAGAATGAGGATGGAACAACTACGTACCGGAGAAATGTGTCATTTTTGAGGAGAGACGCCGAGGGAACGGTCAGTTCCAGGCAGGAGTACATCACGGACCAGATATCGGGAATGGTATCGCAAAATGTACCATGTATGAGGTGTGCAAAGTCTATGTAGCACTACAACGATAACGAATGAGATTCCCCTTTGCCCTTCTTGGCAAGTCTGCATTTACTGGCCCAAAGGAATAAACTTGAACAAGGAACTTTTAGACTTGCATGCGTGTCCCGCGTTGGATCTGAGTAGCATCCACCTTCGGCATCCCACATGCCCCCGGGACAGCTCCATAGCCAGATCTGAGTTTATTTGACAGCGTCTCCATATGCGAAGATCGGTCAACGATCCACCAGAAACGTGTTTGTGAGGTTGATTCTAGGTTTTGGGTAGTTTTCGGCGTTCGCCTAAGAGAAACCCCAGATTCTGTGCTTGTGTTTGTGAGCATGAGTAGCGTACGAATCAACTTACGCGTGAAACACGCCGAGATTTCGGCCGAGCCAAAACTGCCTCGCTCGGAGATCAGGCTTGCGTGGGCTTCACCCTCCTGATGATGAATCAAAGAACTGGAAGGATACCACCTCCCCTTTAGAAACACCCATGATCACCCTCGTGAGACCTTCTAGCTTCAGCAATGTCATCGTCCACCATGGCCTAGCTGCCGAGAGGCTGGTGCCGTAGCTCCAGTCCCAGAGTGGCGATGGGGGTGATCCGAACGCCGCTAAAGCGGCACTTGCGCCGTGCCACACATTCACATCACCCTCCTCCACGCCTCCGGTCTTGCTCCACTGTGGGGCAAGACCGAGAGGAATAAAAGCCGGGCGATCGCCGGCTCGCTTTTGCTCCACGGCACTCTGGCCAGCGCCCCCCTACCAGAGCGGCCTTTTCGTCCTTTGCACGAGTCCAACGTCGTACTGTTGTTTCGACAGACGCTCAAACTGACGAGATTCCAGGAGCGAACCACTATGGCAGGTCCGGGCAGATGGAAGGGAAGCTCGGCTTTTCCGTATGGCAGAGGGGACAAAAGGGGCCCATCTAACAAACAATGGTCATATATCATGAAGAACATTTCCCCATAAGAGACCCGACATGTAGTCGAAGTCACGGGCATTCCCAGTTCTGTCTCTTGTTGTGGATAGAAGAGAGAGAAATCGTTACTCACCCAGAACGTTCGTCAACATGCCTTCCCCTATTTGGGCCCTCGCGGCCGCAGTCGCTCCGGCTTTCGTCAACGCCGCAACCCTCGCCGACGTCTGTACGACTGCTCACGCGCAAGAAGCTCTCCCCGCGAGCGGCTTCATCCCCGGCATCACCATCGACGCGTCCTCCGTCGTGACCTCGGTGGTCAGCAACGCCTCCGTCTCCTCCGAGTGGTATCCCTCTGCCACCATCGAGTACTGCAACGTCACCTTCGCCTACTCCCACGACGGCCTCACCGGCGACAAGGTTCACGTAACATACTGGGTGCCCTCTCCCGACGCCTTCCAAAACCGCTATGTCTCGACTGGCGGTGGTGGCCTGGCCATCAACTCTGGAAGCCAGTATATCCCCACGGGTATCATCGTGGGCGCCGTGTCTGGCATCACAGATGGTGGCTTTGGGGACTTCAACACGCAGTGGGACGCCGTCTTCCTCGCAGCAAATGGTACTGTCAACTGGCAGTCCGTCTATATGTTTGGGTACCAGGCACACAATGAGCTGGCTACGCTGGGCAAGGAGTTCACCAAGAAGTTCTACAGTGTTGCCGCCGACCAGAAGATCTACTCTTACTACCAAGGCTGCTCGGAGGGAGGCCGTGAGGGGTGGAGTCAGGCACAGCGGTTCGCAGACCAGTTTGACGGTCTTGCCATTGGTGCGCCTGCTTTCAGATGTAAGTAACATTTCCAACGTTGTCTTTTTTTCCTATGGTACTGACAATCGCCTAAGATGGACAGCAGCAGGTCAACCATTTGACGGCCAACGTCATGGAGCAAACCCGAAACTACTTCCCTCCTAGCTGCGAACTCGAAAAGATCCTCAACATGACCATCGCCGCCTGCGATCCCCTCGATGGCAAGACCGACGGCGTCATCGCCCGCTCCGACCTCTGCAAGAACACATTCGACTTCAACACCACCATCGGACAAGCCTACTCCTGTCCCGCCAAAGCCGCTAGCACCGGCCCCGGCTTCCCTACCCCGGCAAGCCCGGCACAGAACGGTACCGTCACCACCGAGGCCGCGACTTTGGTCAAGGACTACTACGACGGCCTCCACGACTCCACGGGGAAGCGCGTCTACCTCAACTACCAACCCGGTTCAGCATTCTCCGACGCGACGGCCTCCTTTGACGAGGCAACCCAGACCTGGGGCCTGAGCATCTCCGGCCTCGGCGGCGAATGGGTCGCCCGATACCTCCAGCTCCGCGACACCAGCGACCTCGGTACCCTGGCTAACGTTACAGCCGATACTCTTCGCGACTGGATGCTCTACGGCATGAACAAGTACGCCGACTCGCTGCAGACGACGCACCCGGACCTCAGCGGAATCCAGTCCGCTGGTGGCAAGATCCTGCACATCCACGGCGAGCAGGACGATTCCATCCCCGCCGCCTCGTCGGTCCACTATTACGAGTCTGTGCGGAGCATCATGTTCCCGGGTCAGGGCTTCAACGAGAGCGGTGCAGCCATGGACGAGTTTTACAGGCTGTACCTTGTTCCTGGTGGCGCCCACTGCGGTGCCAACTCGAACCAGCCTGGTGGCGGATGGCCTCAGACGACGCTGCAGACTGTGATCGAGTGGGTTGAGAAGGATGCTGCCCCGGCGACGTTGAACAACACGGGTGTTGGCATCGACACGCTCTGCCGCTGGCCCATGCGGCCTTTGTGGTCTAACGATGGGGCTTCCTTCGATTGTGTTTACGACCAGGCTTCTATTGACAGCTGGATGTACACTTTCGATGCCTTCAAGATGCCCGTCTACTGAATAGCCGCAGACCCGAGGAAGTAGAGTTACATTTGTACAAGGCTTCTGAACTATTCGTGTACATATTTGTTTTGCAGTAACTAGTACAAAGCCGATTAATCTTCATGTCTAAGTAGTGTCGTCAAGGCAGACGTTCCCAATCCAGACTTGAGTTCCTCCAATTGCTGAATGTGGATGGCATGATCCATGAGAGAAAAGTCAAACCCATTATCCTGGATAATCTCCCGGCAATGATCGATGCTAGATCTTGTCCGGTGAAATGAGCTGGTGGGCAGCCGCTCACAATATGGTGAACTGTAAACATTCATCGCCCCCAATATTACCATTCCTTTCTTCCACTTTATACTTTTCTGCCAACGTCAATCTTCTGTTTTCGCGTCCGGTTTTTTAGTGCATCCTTGCAGACAGTTTAAGCGGCATAGCTCTCAGGAACATAATGCTCGAGACTACCCGAATCTAGTCGGCCTTGCGAACGGTGGCACTCGTCGCCTCCAAAGCCTCAAGCTTTGTCGACGCGACCCAACAAGCTTTTTCGGACTGAACAAGTCGTGTGTCTTGCAAATGACAGACTCAGTTTAGATTAAGATCTACGGTCCCCGCAAAGATCGGACCGCATTGACTACTTTGACTCAGTAAACGGCTATGACGGCACCAAATTTAAGTTATCCTAGCTTGAGGAACGTAAGGAGAAAGCCCCTGTAATGTGAATGGCGGCACAGGAAAGGCTGTGTGCACTGGTACCGATCCCACGGTAGCGTGCCTGGGCTTGAATAGCACCGCTGGCCTCATTATCATGAGCCTCAGTCTATGGCGTGCGATATAGGACGTGCCTATGTAGGTCGTATACCGCGATATCAGTGGGAACACAGTCTAGCACAGACCTTGTTTCGGCAAGTGAAGCTTTTGGGAAAACTTTAGCGAATAAATCAGCGTCTGTACTCCCGAAGATCGTCGGCGATCTCGAAAGAACTGATGGCATCCTAGATCAGGTCCTAGGAAGATCCCTGCACTAGCCCTCGACAATCGCAGGTTCTCCGTTCATCTGAAAGAGCTTCCAGAAGAGAGATGGAACGTTAGAGAACGTAGGGTAGCAATAGCTTTGACTTCAATCGGTCATTCCTAATCATGTTGACATGATTGTCTGCAAATGTTTCGAGAGACTCTAGATTAGCCCTCTGCCCATTTACTTCGTCTCCATCACGGTTGCTTGCTGTCCGTCGCTATTTTGAACCTCTTGTCACTGCTCATAGGGGAATATTTCATTATCATTTCATATTTTTACAAAAAGCCTCACAAAGGGAATATGACTCAAGCCCTCCCACCGTCCTTGGTCGTCTCTTCCACAATAGACCACTTCGTCTCAATCGTAATCGCCTGCGCATTCCGGGGCAGCCTTTGCGTCGACTCCGTCTCCGAGATATCATCCTCGTCCGTCCCATTCGACCGCCTCCTCAACTCCCCCCTCCCGATCACCGTCGTCGTAAAGTGCACATCATTCTTGCCGTACATCGTCTCGAGCGGAATTCCGTTCGTCAAGTCCTCCACCAGGTGCTCGTGTTTGCACGACTGGCTATTGCCGCCCAGCCGCGACACGTACTCGTCCGTCTCGAAGCGGCGGTGCTTCCAAAAGGCCCAGAGCGGGAGCAGCATCGGCAGGGAGTTGCAGAGGATGGTGAGGTTCGTTTCAAGGACCGTGAGGAAGGTCGCGACGGGCATGTTGCGGACGACTTGTTCTAAACTGTAGACATCGATCATGATGCGGAGCCTGACGATGGAGGCGATGATGGCACTAGATCGGAAAATGTTAGACAACGACGCTCGTTCATCCAAGACAACGCTTTATCGATCCGCCGCTGTTGATGGAGGGGAACCACAACTCACATGAGATTCAACAAGAACACACCACTCAGCCCCCACCGCGTCGATACGCTGACCTTCTTTAAGCTCCAAATCGTGTAAAGCGGGACCAACATGATGACAGTGTTGGTGATGCAGTTGAACAGCCCTGTCGAGAGGATGCTTGCCTCGTGCTCGCGGCAAATGTCCTTATTCGTCGCGTGCCATTTGCCGTTGGTGATGTGGCAGACCAGCAGAGTCTGAAGGATGTTACCGATGCCCCAGAGAATGACGATGAGGAAGGTCATCTTGGTCGCCAAGCGCATAGGCGGGCTCGTGAAGACGCGGAGGTAGAAGAAGAGAACGCTGAGCTTCGTCGTTAGGCTGACGAAGCCAAAGATGGTATCGGAAGGGAGGAAGAGCTTCGATTTGCCGTCATGATTAGCAACCGATCAGATCCGAGTAGCCCCCATAATCTCACAGCGAGTTATGAGATCGATTTGATAGGGAAACTCACAGAATCCAAAAACGTCCAGTTCGCCTCGACCTGCGAAAGCTCATATCCAAGACCGGCGGACGTCCCTGTAGCCAAGTTTTAGTAACATATTCTCCAGACAACCTATCTTTGAGCCTCCACGGCACAGTTTTGTAGGATGCTCACAAAGTCCTTGTATCACCAACAAAGCAATCCCCTGAGGAACAGCCAACAACGTAAAGTAGTCATCCCAGCCCAGCCTAGATCCCGCCAGCACACGAGAGACGACCCGAAGCGCAACCACCAACACCGTCACGAAAGCCACCACCGAGTTGGCAATAAGATACGCCGAAGCCTGAGGCACAATAGGCATCTTGGTGTACTGCATGTGGGGAGAATTCTCTCCGTCGTCGTTCGGGATGCCGAAAGGGTGCGATCGCGTCGGTTTGGCCTGAGGAGCTTTTCCTGGTGACTTTGGCGGAGTGCACCGTGCCGGGGGTGGGAAGAGAAAACGAAAAGAAACAGAAGAATTCCGAGAGATTGGGAGGGGCAGGGAAAAAGAGGAATACAGGCCATGTTTAAACTCGAGATACTGCTCCTCGCTTCACTCTGCTTAACCCACTCTATCGCTTTCTCTCTTTCGCTCGCTCTTGCAACAAGCAATGCAAACAGGGATAAGGTCACATTGAGTTTCAACGCATGGGAAAACGCGCCTACGATTCTCGCTCGAAAGGGCAATGACTCGCACTGGGGCGTGATTGTTCCCCCCTCCTCCCCTGATCTCGC